GAAAAATTCCATTTATCGACGAATATTAACATTTGGGTAACGTTTCTTCGGTGCAATTGTTCTATTTTTTCTTTTATCTATTTCAACAATATTACCATATTTAAAACAATTATCGCTGTAAACTGGCCATAAAAAGCTCGCGTAACAGGTAACGTAAAAGAAAAAATACCTTAATTGATTAATTACTCAAGTAAAGCGAGAAATGATATCATTTCAAGCAATTGTGCTAAAGGATTATGTTACGTACCGAATTCACATTAAATAGGGTTTCTCTGTAACTGTCGAACCATCAAGTTAGCTGGACTCTTCAAGCTAACTGAGCGGACTAACAGCTTACACTCCAAAAGTATGTACATGGAAACTTAATTAGTTCTTTAAATTCTTTTCCTTAAGGGAGACTAAGATGAGGTGCTTCTCCCACTTCCCTAACTCCAGTCCTAAACGGGCGACGAGTTACTGTCGACTATTTTTTTACTTCAGGCGCTACTGTTAGATTAGAATTATCTTTAGCTGGTGTCGATATAATCTGATTAAAGTTAAATTTTTATATTTCATTGCTTTAGCACGTTCACGCCGGCGCGGGCCACCGGTGGCCTGCACTAGTCTGTCTCACCCGGTGGCGCGTACCACCGGTGGCCCGCACTAGTCTGTCTTATCGGGCGCGCGTGCCACCGATGATACGCATTCGATTGTGTTATTAGAGGCTGAAAATTAAAATAATGAAACATTAGCGTTTATTCATTATAAAAACTTTTTAATAAGAATTATAATTAATAATTATTAGCAAACTTACAACTCGTATACAGGTCTGAACAGGTAATAATCGCGCGCCGCCAGATGAAACACGGCAAAATTCGCGTGCCGTCTCACGGCGAAGAACATGAAAATTGGCCCCGGCGTGAACGTGTTAAGTACTTCAGTTCTTAAAACCTAGAAACAACAACGTCTATTATTTAAGTATAAGTTATACATTGCAAGTAGCTTAATAATTCTTTAAATTAACTTTTACCTCTTGTCTGTGTTGTTGCAAGTTAGCTAGAATTCTGTTTAGGTGTAAAAACGATCATTCCTCCTGGAATTGAGAAAAGTTAAGCTGGTGTAATTAGATAGCTGATTAACTTTCAACTTTAAAAGTTAACAACTGGATGAAATTTACTTTCCACAGTAAGAACAATAAATGAATAGGATTGTTGGAATTCAGAATATCGTAAATTAATTCAAAGTTAAAAAAAAAAATGCCGAAAACTTCCGAAATATGATTTCATCTTTCTAATACAGTTAATTTAATACAGTTTCTAATATAGTCTTCGCACACGAAGTATGATCCTACTTCTTGTACGATAATTTATTCTTCTTGTATGACATATTTCTCGTCTGATGACTCTTGTTGTTTAAAGCATGAAATAGCAGTCCCCATATTTTGAGGAAGTAAGGTAATGTTATGTTAAGATACCAGGACACGCGAACTGAGGAGTGTCACCCCTTCCATGAGACAAGATATTTAATGTATATTCCACGTATACTAGTAAATACTTAATTTTCAGAATATCCCTAAATTTTCTTAATACATTTTAAATTCATCTGTTCATCATTAGCAATGTTGTAGAAACAATCAGGCATTTAATTTTGATGAAAGAAATGGGAAAATATGCAATGCTCTCACCGGGATTGGAGCTTCGGATCTCCCGACTGCTAGACGACCGGTTCTAGTCACATCGCGGGATAACCACGGTAAGGAGGGAGAAAATATTATACAATGTGTAGCCAATGATCGATTTACGGAAAAGAAGTTATGCATATTCGGTTCTGCATCTCGATAAATGATTGGATTTACCGACTCATTGAAATTCTAACTGATATAATCTAAAATGCATTAATTTATAAAATATCTAACTGATAATTTTTATAAATATTTGCACTGTTATTGTAATTATTTAAATATCTCCATACATAACGTACATGGTACACAGTCACATAAAACTTGATTTGTTTTATAAACAAATATAGGAAGATTTATTATTTTTCTTTGCGTTAATGCATTAGGATTTCTCTCGTATTAAAAGCACATACAATTAAATTAAGCATTCCAAATAATTATTACATACATATTTAATAAAACTCTGGAGCTTATAATACTTATGAAAGTACCAAGCAACTACAGTCATTAGTAAAAGAGTGTATGTGGGCGGCTTCTAGGTATTTCCAAATGGCAACATTCCAAATATAATACAGTTAAAAAATCATACAGTGGATTCTCCCCTTTATACTGGCTGTATTTTCCTCTAACTTAAGAAGGCAACCGAAAAACAAATTGCGAGAAAACTTGCTGTCTGGAAACTTCCGACTTCAATCTAACACTTCAAAGGGTATATTGCCTCCCAATAATATAGTGAACATTTCCGCTGAAATTGGTCTCTAATTCTAAGAACTTAAACGCCATTCAATATCAGCTGAGACAGCCACCTGCTCAGAAAGTCAAAATAATACAGGACCGAAGGTGGTTGTCTTAGAAAAGGTTCATTGTACTTATTGAGAAAATTAATCTTTTATTGTTCAATAAAATTAAAATCTCAACTCAAAAAATAATTTCAATTTTCAAAGTTCCAGTCTTTCTTTATTTTTGCACTTTTTTTAAAATGTTATAAGTAAGAAAATATCAATATATAAACTAGACATAACAGCTCGAGCGAAAAAGAAAAGTTAATAGTCTAAATAAGATTTTTAAAAAGTGCATTACTATGCAAAGATGATTTCTTCTACATGCTACGACAAATTTTCATCATTACCATTAGATTTTATTTTGTTTAACGCAATAACCAGGCTTAGGATCATATCTTACTATTGCACTGATGATATAAATTAATATTTGCTGAAAAATCCTATTGTAAAATACACATAATTTTTTTCGCGTTGTTACGGGGATATTTAACTCATTCTTTTGCTACGGAATATAAATCAAAGATCTTAGATCTCGTCATTTGGTAACAACTTGTGATTTTCTTGGACAGAAATCGATAAATGAAATCATAACACTCCCCTCTAAATATAATAAGTAAATATTATATTATTAAAATATTATTCTGATAAATATATATAATATTTAGCAGAATAACTCCACTGCTAAATATAATAAGTAAAATTCTATCCGGAACTGAACACGCCGAGTAAAATATTAAGTTTAATGCAAGTTTGTAAATTCAGCATGTAAGTATTCATAAAGAAAAGGTTGTTAAGGATTTAGTATTATTTACGTGTCTACTTATATACTGCAAGTTTTATCTAAGATTAATACATACACATCAGTTTCATATTTTGGAAAGAAATATTTCAATAATTCTGCTATGGAAAACTTATTGAAATTTTTAGTTAACTGTAAATTTAGAAATAACTAAAATGGCTCATAGATTCGTAAAACATTATAAACATTCTTTCCCCACCGTTTTGAATTAGCCAATTGGATTTCGCCACCTCTAGTTGTCCTTTCAGTGGGAAGGGACAATATAAAAAAATGAAGGTATTTTCTTGCAACCAAACCATTCTAAAAGATTTTTCGTCTTACCAGTAATTTAAGTGCCCCCCTATGTCGCAGAGATACTATACACACTTACAAACATCCAAGAGGGATTCGAACCTGGACCCAACGATGAGGCAGCCAACAGCACTATACCGATCACGGCGATACTGCTTGATTATTAAACATTAAAAATATAAATTTATGGTATTTCTAATTTTGATGATAAAAATTAAACTTCTTAAAACATGGGAGGGGGTGGAGGAAGAGGAAGAGAAAAAAATTTAGAAACATCTTCAAGGTATTTATCGTTTTCAGAAAACTAATTTGTTATCCTGGCCAAACAGGATGATTCTCATTCGAAGAAAACATTAGCCGCAAGTCTCGAGTGTAAGCGATTCGGTGAAATAAATGCACAGCTAATTTTTATTTGCAGCTAAATCTTAAATAGTGAAATCTTTCCTTACTGAATTCTGCCGTTTAGTTTTGCCATTTTCAATAATCCGTTTTAAATCTGAGATGTTATGCTCTATATCTTAATTTCTGGCGGATTAATTCTTAAACTAATAGATTTGTCACTAATAGGGATATAAATTAATAGCTATTCACCTATTTTAAAATACTTTTAGGTGTTCAAATTGAAAAATAGAAAACTGAGACTGCAACTTCATTTTACCCTTGTAATTTTGCATTTTTAAAATTTATCAAATATTCTTTTAACGCTGAGAAACTTTCATGGTAAACTCATCGAAAAACTTTTAATCTGGAGCTTTTATACTGCAGTTATTATTATGATTATTATGGTCATTATTTATATTTCTTTCAGTATTCTTAACAAGGAAGCTACAGTACGTAGTAATGTTATAGACACTAGAATTAAGGTGTGCAGTGCCATCGAATTTTTTGGTGAAACATCATTTGATAGTTAAATTTATTTATTAAACGTAATTTTTTTTCTTAATTCAAAAATAAATGCATTGCACAAATGCACACGTAAACGCATTGCACAAACGCACAAGTAAATGCACCTAATGCAATTTTTTTCCTTAATGCACAAGTTTTTTCTTAGTGCATAAGTAATTTTGTTAATGTTATTATAACATTTTTCAAGTACATTTTGTTGATACTAATATAATTTGTTATCAATTTATACAGATGTTACATATTAGTTGGAAATTTATCAATAGAAATTTTCTTATTAAGAGTCTTTTTATTTATTTATTTATTTATTGTTACGTAGTTATAATATTTTATTATAAGTTTAAAATTCAAGTAATTTTTGTATTTTGTTATTAAATTTTATGGAATAGAAATGTAAAAAGAAGAGCGAAATTAATTCCAGTATTTATTTCCTCTTAAAACAGATAACCCACAAGAAACTGGGAAAAAACGCAGTTCCCGGTTTAGTTGACTCCTCTTCCGCCAGAGATCGCTAGCTTCGCCTTGGCGCAGTGGTCACGTGCACCACCGCTGCGGGATTGATCCGCAAGCTCGCCTTCAGTCGATGGCCGTGTTCGAAGAGGATGAGGGCGGGCGGAAGCCTCGGCCCTTCCGCCCGTTCCGAAGTCACGAGGAGTATCTTTATGCGATGAAGGAAGATTTAGCGGAGTGGCTACAGACTCTTTATGACCTCCCGGTAACCGCAGACGATTTCATGGACCGTTTGGAGACCGGGGTGGTGCTGTGCCGGCATGCGAACCGTGTCATATCGGCCGCTAAACGCCGGGGCCGATCCCCGGACGAGTGGCGAGAAGTGGTGTACCGCCCCGAGGTACAGCCCGGCACATTCCACGCCCGAGACAACGTGCACAACTTCATCGCCTGGTGCCGGGGCGCCCTCAAGATCAAGGAATGTCTATTGTTCGAAACGGACGATCTGGTGATGAGGAAAAACGAAAAAAACGTGGTGCTATGTTTATTGGAAGTGGCCCGTCGGGGCACCAGGTTCGGGATGCCGGCGCCTCTCCTCGTGCAAATGGAAAGAGAGATTGATGCAGAAATAGCGGCCACCAGCCGCGAAGAAGAGTCTAGGACAACCCCTCCATCGTCCCTGTCTCTAAGGGGTGACTCGGACGAGGGTCACGAGGCCGATGACGATTCGGAGTCCGAGCCCCCTGCCACTCCGAGGCAACCGCAGACACCGCAGCCGCAAATTGTGACAAATGACCTGAGGTCTCTACACGAAAGGGTGAGTCTCATTACTTTCTATTTTCCTGATATAACATTGCCCGTTTTTACCTTCTGAGGGAAGCCCCTCCAATTCTTCCCGACGAGAAACCCCTTCAAAGCGCCTTCCCGGCGCATGTCTGTCCTGCGCAGAGAAGTGACTTTTACACGAGCATGATCCCATGACATGAAAATATCCCCGAAAATACGAAGGTCTATTCTTTGTCGCGAGGCAAAACATGGCTGTTTTGGCATTGAAGACACTATCACGAATCATATGACAGTGTTGTTAATGGATACTTAATGTACTTTTAAATGTTGCATAAAATATTTAATACAGTAGAATTCCATTTTCCTTTCAGATCATGTAAAATTAAGCCTGTTGCTAATTTAGTGATGCACTTCTAGTTTTCCCCTTATTCTTTTAAATAAGATTAGAGGATCCGATAATACAATACACAGTATATAGTTCTCCTAACAAAGTATATATTAAAACAATTTAGATGAACACATATGGCATGTACAGTGGCCTATAATATTCGGCAGATACGTAGGCTTGAATGAAAAAGCTGCTATAATGCTGTGTATTACATTACTATTCTTTATTTACTTCGTTAGTCATTCCTTAATCATAAGAAGAGTTAGTTTTTGATAAAATGCATTTAAAGAAACATAACGATGTTCATTCCAATTCCAGTGAAGAAATTTTTGTATTATAGTACGCAGTGTCAAAGTAAATGAAAGTAGTTTTATTTCCTTAATTTTAGTTCATTAATAATAATAATAAAAAGAAATTATGTGTTCAGTTTTACAGCCTACCAAGTAAAATTAATTTCAGCTTTACATTTTTATGGGGGGGGATAGAAATCTTACTGGGTGTTAAGGGAAATGAAAAATAGATTCATCATTAAATTCTACAGAAATAAGTATGCTATACATTTTGTGTTACGGAAAAAGAAATATTTCATAATTGCACAATTTTCTTGAAATGTAATCCGATCAATAAAAAAATATGATTCCCTCACTTCAGTTATACATATTCGGCTTATGAGAGGAATATTCTGTTATGTGAATTTTCTTGATATTGGAGATCTTGTGATCCGATTTACTTCGGATATTTTAACATGTACTGTAAAAAATCTACGAATACAGATATGATCTGAATTTTAAGATAAATTCGTCAGATTTTTACGATTACATCCCACGTGCTTATCATTCTTCACCAGATCACTGAATAGAAGGTTAAGAAATGAAATGGAACATTCGAATCCTGGAATCTCAAGAATCTTTAGGATTCTAGATTTAAAAACTCGAACTTTCATGCTTTTCTTCGTATTTCGAATCCTGACCCAGAAAATTGCTGTATATTTTAAGCCGAAACTTCGGGAAATTATTGACGTTCATTAAAAAAGAAAAACGAATTTTGCGGTATCAGCAAACTTGAATCAGTAATTTTAGAACCTCGTAGTAGACCTGCTTGTCAGTCCCCCCCCCCTGTTTTTGAGGACAACAGGAATTTAATCAAGTATTTTGTTTTCTAAACACATTGCTATCAGAACTAATGCACTAAACATTCGACGTTTAGAGTTTACATGTGGTAACTTTTGAAATAATCCTCTCTCTTTTGTATCTGATTTAAGTTAAAAACATTCTTGAGTTTCATAAAGTCTGAATTATTATTCAAGTACTTTTATCAAATTGTATTGAGAGAATGAATCTCAAGATTCAAGTTTTAGCTATACACTTCATTTGTATTGGCTTAATACAATATAGGCGCATTTTTTTAAAAATGTTTTCTTAAATATGTTTTTCATTAAATGCGTGTTTCTAATTTTGCTTTATAACAATTTGAGGGGTATATTTTTAGCTAAATGAAATACCTCTATCACCCACTCACCCTCAAACGTTGTCTTTAGTGTGATGGCGAGTTACTGCCGTTTTTAAACAGATTGTAGTAACGAGAGATACACAAAATGAATGTTAAATTTATTTTCTTACCGATGGTGAGTTAAAGTTGGCACAACATAAAATTTATCTTCTTTTAGCTACTGTCCAGAACGTAAAACAAATTAACACCAGTGCTCCTACTCGAAGCTACTGTTCTCACTGGGTCGTATAACTTAATGCTAATAATATTCACATTTAATCAAAACCGTGCATAATGTCCAGCAATCAGTTTTATTATAACAGCGGCACCCAACTAGGCATTGCAACTAGGCTATTGCTGCCGCTGTCTACAGGCAGCGGCAGCAATAGTAAAGATCTCTACTGTAAGCCATCCGGTTGCGATGCTTCCTCTCAATCTAAACGACATCGTTTGCCTTAAAATCTGCATATACCCCTGGAGTGATCGAGTAAGTGACTAAACGAGGCATAAAAGAAAGGCTCAAAAATAAATTTTAATTAAATGTTACAAATTAATTATTTTTTAATATCAAGTAGTAGGTATTTTCTGATTTATTATTCTTATACGAAAGATTCGAATTTCGATCGCTTTTAAATTCGAACTGGGATTAGGATGCAAGAACATATTGGATCTGTCCCATCTCTAGTTATAAAGTTCCACCCATGGCTCTTCTAAAGTTTACCATGGTAAACTATAATGGTAAACTTAACTATAATGGTAAACTATAATGGTAACTATAATGGTAAGTCCCGATTAACAGGAATAAGCCAGAAATGACTTCTACGGTTAACTGAAAATGAAAGTTACTCTGAGGGCAGTTAATAAAAGCTAAAAGAGTAATAAACCATATTATAATTAACAGAAGAATAATATGATATATACCTTTCTGGCCAGTTCCATTTTTTGATCATACGGCCGGATAGGAGAATCGGAATCGATATTGAAAATAAAGAAAATGCACTATAAATACGAGAGAACTAATATCAGTAGAAATCAAGAAACACGATTATACTCGTAAAATAGTATTAAAAGAGCAGTATTTACAAGAGAACATTAACAGTGTCACTGAGTGAATTCCTGTAAAAAAGTTGGCAGCATTGTTTGTTGGGGGCTTATTTTATCTGGTATCCATCATTTGATATCACTTCTGTTATACTGCTCATTTTTGTTTTCCCATTTTTATTTTTCATGGATGTTTTGTTTTATGCTAGTGGTTTGTGACAGTAAATTTTCATCGTTTGATAGCCAACAAACTCAGCATTTTCTCTCTCTCTCCCGCTTTTTTTTTTTTTTTTTTTTAACAAAACTGGTTAATATGCTTTTAGATAACTGGCAGTTAATCGTATATGAGTAATCTATCAACTTCTTAATCCTTACAGAACTGTTTGTAAAACACACCCATTTCTAAATCCCGAGCAAAATGAATACCTTCTGTATGTAATGAAGTTTGTAGAGTCTGCGATAAAAGTGACATAAATATCACGCTTGACAAGTCAACAGTTAAAAAAATAGTTACAAGGAGCTCAATCAGACAAGCATTTCATTCATATGTGTTTCGGATTGCGTTTCTGTTCATCTATTCCATACCTTGTGCTATCATAATCATTCAGTGCTATTACTAAAATTTTAAAGTGAAAGATGGTAACTTTAAATCGCAGGAATAATAATAATAGAAATATTTTGTAATCTGAAAACTTCAGATTATAATCTTAATCTGAAAACAGAATTTACGATCAAATAAACAAAAATTAGTCAGGATCTCAAAACATGATTTAGCGTTGTTTCACTTTTCATTCGAGTCTATTGCCGTTCAGAAAAACGTAGGGTATTTTTCTTTCATATTTACTCTTTTTGTTATTAATTAGCAAGCTATTTAAAAGTAAGAGATGCAGTTCTTAGGGACATTTTTTACTTTTGAATCTGATTCAGTTAAATAAAAATTCATTTAATTCACGGTACAGCTCATTAAAAACATTAAATATTTTTGATAGAATTACGTCATACACATTTTCATTTTTCAAATAGACAGAAGCTATACAACGTTATAAGGTATTTCTCCCGCCTTCTTAGCATGCATTCGTAGTGTAGTGGTCAGCACGCTGGGCTCGTATTCCAGAGGTCCGTGGTTCGATTCCCGGCGAAGGCGTTGCTCATTTTTCACATCTTTCTGCTTCCAAAACATCCTGATGTCTCTACAACGTTCCGATGTTAGTCTAAATACTAACATTTAAAATCCTATAAAATGTTTCGCTGTTCCACTTGGGTCATCTCTATCGATAATACCTACTGATAAACCAACCATATTAAACTTATAGGCTATCTCTAAAACCTCAACCTTTTCAGATTTTATTTTATTTATTTATTTATTGCTTTTCTAACTGGTAACACTGAATTTTTACAGTCCAACAAAACTGAAACACAACTCAGGGTGGGGGGAAGGGAATGAAACTTCGTATACTAATTTCTGCATTTAATTTTAGAATCTAAAATGTTATAAAACTAAAATAAAGTATTAAAGAAGCATATGACGGTTTAAATAAATTAAAAATTTATGTAATATAAACAGAAGATCGCAATCTGTATGTTACAAAATCTCATCAACATTATTCGATTTAATTTTGCATGTAGAAGGTTGCACGCACGAAATAGAGTAAATCGACATATTATAAGATATAAAATTTCATTTTATTTACAGCTCTGATAAATATAAGCATAAAATAACGTAGGTTTCAGAATATTGTTGAAATGCGCGAAAAAATGAGTTTTTAAATTATTCCATATTTTAAGATGATCAGCAAAAGAGGTTTTTGTGATATGGAAGATAAATTAAAGATCTTGGGCCTTGTTATTTGGCACCAACGTGATTTTTATTTGAAATGAGCAAAATCCCTGATTAAAAAAACATTAGCATTTTTCCAATGTGTAAGAAAAAGCTTTATTTATGTAAATTATTGCGCTGAATTTCTTTGTATACTTGTTATTAAATTTAGAGTTCTCCTTACAACTGTGAATAAACAGAAAGGAGCTATTAATTTAAGCCCAAATGATACTGCCATTTAAAATTAGTTACACCTTTACCATGTTCAACAAGGAAGTTGGACTTCTTCTACCCCAATTTTAAGCAAGAGCACCCCAAGGAGGCGTCCGAGGGTCTCCCACCCCTTTTCCCTACCAG